GGCCATCAGCCATAGATACGCTAGACTATTTTCTGAAGGCTCCAGAGCTCGCTCCCTTCTCCGTGGGATATCCTTTGCAATATTTAATATGTCCTCTTCCACACAATCGTAACATTGGCCACTAACAAGTCCCACGTCTCTCTTGTTGGGTTTCCAAACTGAAACTTGGACGAGACTCCTGCCCTTTTAATGGTTGCCCAGAACAGGTAACTTCAGCAGGTGTGCCTCCTCCTTGAGTCATGCCAACACGCCACACCTGCTGATGCGCCTCTTTGATGCAGCCACTAAAAATACCAGAGCCTTCTCCTCCAGATTTCACTTTGGCAACCCAACTCCAGAAAGGCCAGGTCTCTGTTTCGGGGGTGGCGGGGTTGACACCTGCCTTGATGCACACCTTTATACCCGTCTTGATGCACTCCTGTACGCCTCTCAATGCACACCTTTACACTTGTCTTGATGCACACCTGTATACCTATATTGATGCACAGCTGTATATCTGTCACATTTGTCTTGACACACACCTTTACACTTACCTTGATGCACAACTTTACACATGTCTCGATGCACACCTTTACACTTGTCTTGACACACACTTTTACACCTGTCTTAGTGCACACCTTTACACTTGTCCTGATGTACACCTGTATACCTGTCTTGACACACACCTGTATATCTGTGACACTTATCTTGACACACATCTTTACACTTACCTTGATGCACACCTTTACATTTGTCTTGACACACACTCTTACACTTCTTGATGTACACATGTACACCTGTCTTGGTGCACACCTGTATACCTGTCTCGATGCACACCTTTACACTTGTCTTGACACACACTTTTACACCTGTCTTAGTGCACTCCTTTACACTTGTTTTGATGTACACCTGTATACATGTCTTGACGCACACCTGTATATCTGTGACACTTGTCTTGACACACACCTTTACACTTACCTTGATGCACACCTTTACACGTCTTGATGCATACCTGTATACCTGTCTTGATGCACACCTTTACACTTGTCTTGACACACACCCTTACACTTCTTGATGTACACCTGTCTTGGCGTACACCTGTATACCTGTCTGGATGCACACCTTTACGCTTGTCTTGACACACACTTTTACAACTGTCTTAGTGCACACCTTTACACTTGTCTTGATGTACACCTGTATACCTGTCTTGACACACACCTGTATATTTGTCACACTTGTTTGACACACACCATTACACTTGCCTTGATGCACACCTGTACACCTGTCTTGGTGCACACCTGTATACCTGTCTTGATGCACACCTTTACTCTTGTCTCAATTCACACCTTTACACCTGTCTTGACACATATTTTACATCTGTCTCAGTGCACACCTTTACCCCTGTTCTTGAGGCACATTGCTACACCTGTCTTGATGACACATTTACACCTATCTTGATGACACATGTAGACCTATCGTGAGGCGCACCTTTACACTTGTCTTGGCGCACACCTGTATACTGACTTGATGCACAACTTTACACCTATCTCGATGCACCCTTTTACACTTCTTGATGTACACCTCTCTTGATGCACACCTTTACACTTGCCTCGATGCACACCTGTACACCTTAGTCTCTCCACTCTTCAAATTCTAGATGGAGATGCCTTTTATTTGGGAGCCTGATGCCTGCCTGACGTAGTGGGCGTACCTTTCTGCTCCCACCTGAAGGCCTCCTTTCCTTTGCAGGTGCCTGCGGCCTCTTCGTCCCCTGCATCCTGGCTTGCAAGGTGGCCGTCGAGTACGGCGAGTGCTGCTGCGTGCCCTTCCTGCCGGGGGCCCTCGTGGCCATGCGGACGGGCCTCCGGGAGCAGCTGCGCATCACGGTACGCTCCGTAGAATCCTAGGGTTCGGGGGGAGGGACCCCACGGGCCACCCAGTCTCACCCCTTCAGCCAGGACACCACCTCACTCCCGACAGATGACCATCCAAACTCATAGGCAATCGAAGGTTAATATAATAATAGAATCCTAGAGTTGGAAGGGAACCCAAAAGGTCATCCAATCTGACCCCCTTAATTGTTATTTAATCAAATTTTATAGTGTTTCAATTTATTTTAGTTAATTACTATAAGAGCTTTAAGAAAGCCATTTGTTTTTATTTGTTTGTATATTCTTGATATGGTCAGTGGGCTAATCAATAAACAAACACATCTATCTAACGTCACCTAGGACCAGGCTTATTGTTGATATGTTTAATGGCCTAATCAATAAGCAAATCAATAAGCAAATCTATCAATCTACCTTCAATTGGGATCAGACTTATTGTTGATATGGTCAGTGAGCTAATCATTAAGCACACCTATCTGTCTACCTCCAATTGGGACCAGGCTTATTGAGAAGATCAGTGGAGTAAATCAATAAGCAAATCAATCTATCTTCAATCGGGACCAGATTTATTATTGATATGGTCAGTGATAAACTAATCTATCAATCAACCTTCAATTGGGCCAGGCTTATTGATATAGCCATTGTAGTAATCAATAAACAAATCTATCTAATTGTTGATATGGTCAGTGGGCTAATCAATAAACAAATCTATTGTTCTGCCTTTAATTTGGACCAGGCCTACTGTTAATATGGTCAATGGGCTAATCAATAAGCAAATCTATCAATCTACCTTCAATTGGGACCAAACTTGCTGTTGATATGGCCAGTGGACTAATCAATAAGCTGTTCTATCAATCTAGCTTCAATTGGGACCAGGCTTATTGATATGATCACTGAAGTAATCAATAAATTAATTATCTATCTTCAATTAGGACCAGGCCTACTGTTGATATGGTCAGTGGGCTAATCAATAAACAAATCTATCTATTGTTGATATACTGAGTGGGCTAATCAATAAACAAATCTATCTACCTTCCATTGGGACCAGGCCTACTATTGATATATAGACAGTGGGGTAATCAATAAACAAATCTATCTATTGCTGATATACTGGGTGGGCTAATCAATAAACAAATCTATCTATTGTTGATATGGTCAGTGGGCTAATCAATAAACAAATCTATCTATTGTTGATATACTGAGTGGGCTAACCAATAAACAAATCTATCTACCTTCCATTGGGACCAGGCCTACTGTTTATATATAGACAGTGGAGTAATCAATAAGCAAATCTATTTACGTTCAATTGGGACCATGCTTATTGTTGATATGGCCAACTGACTAATCAATTACTAATAAACTGACTAATCAACTATGACTGCTTTCAACTGGGACCAGGCCTATTATTGATATGCTGAGTAGGCTGATCAAAAAAACAAATCTATCTATCCAGTCTTACTGTTGATATGGTGAGTGGACTAATCAATAAACAGATCTTTGCATTGAGCCCTGGTAGTTCCAGTGGGTGCTAAACTGCATCCATTCTGCAGTGCGGATGCAACCGCCCATCCTACTAAATCAATATAGATGACGTTGGGTTAATTAAATCCTCTTTACCGATTTGCATCTTTTGTGCAAAGCTTTGCATGTTTGTTTGTTTTGCACCCATCTGGGGAATGTGCTCGTGTGGAGAAAAAGGGCACGCATACACCTTATGCACATGTGTTTTCGGGAGGGTTGCCTTCCTTGCTGGGAAGAACGTGCCATACCTGCCTGACCTGAGGCAGCCTTATTAGCTCTTGTCTCGATGCACACCTTTACACCTGCCTTGACACACACCTTTACACCTGTCTTGGTGCAAACGTTTACACTTGATGAATACATTTCTGCTGTTTTACAAGACATAATTAGGGTCTTCTTGGAGATGCAGGCTATAAAAGGCACGTCTTGATGTTGCAATGCAAGATGCAAAAAGGCGCTTCTTCACCCAGATGCGAATTAAAGTAATGCAAGCAGATATTTGCACTCTTTTGGGTCACTTTTGTGCATGCTTGCAATCTCATTTTGCACCATGCAGCAATACAAATGCATCCCCATGGAGCATTGCCCTGCCTTGAAGCGGTAAGATTGCACCAATGCAAAAGTGTGCAAAAGTGATGCCCTGATAAGTGCCAAACGGGTGCAAACCACATTCACACCCAGACTGAAGCAACCAGATGAACTCGCTCCCTTTTGGGGTGATGGCCTTCGCATCGTGCGCATCCACACTGCAGAATGAATGNNNNAGGTCTTTCGTCTTCTCTGCCAAAAAGCATTCACCAAACGACAACACTTGCACTGAGCCATGGCGGTCAAAGTGGCATTGAGCTAAGCGGCATTAATGCTACAACGCGGAACCATGCTCCATGCACTAAAATATTAGAAAAATATTTACTGCCTTCACGCTCTGTGTCTATGTAAACTCATGGAATTGGAAGGGACAC